GGCAGGATTTTACTGCCACATGTACATCCATACATATTTTTATAGATTTTAAAAATCACTTTGGAAGCTACTTTGTCTTACAGTTGAGGTTACTGTATATATTTGGCCTTTTTGTCTTTTAGAAGAACAGAGATTTTTGTGGCTAGACCAGAGTGAAGCCCCTGCTCACTCTGTTGTCTTCGGGAAAACTTTAACCTCTCTGAACCTCAGTGTTACCATTTATAATCCTGGAATTTACCAATTGCATCCATTTATTCAATACATACTTTAGTTTCTACTATGTACCAGGCTCTGAAAAATTAAAAGATTCCACAGAAAATAAGACAGAAAAGACCCTATCCTGTGGAACTCAGAATCTGGAAGAAGTTATAATAAATAAATAATTACTCAGGATTGTTTCAGATGGTGATAAATAGTGAGGAGGTGATGTAGAAGGTAACTGTAAGTGTAAGCACCTTAAGTGACATTGAGGAGATCTGGGGCCAGGGACTTATCTCAGTGGTGCCACTGCCTGCCTCAAAAGCACAAGGACCCGGGTTCAATCCCTGGTACCAAAAAAAAAAAAAAAAAAAAAAAAAAAAGACATTGAGGAGATCTGAACACAATGAACAAGTGATAGAAGAGCCATTAATGTTAAGCATCAGGCAGAGTGCACACCAAGCAAAAAGGTCTGGAGAAGGGAGAAGGGTTGTTTTGTAGACTGTGGCAGTGTGGAGGTTGATTGATTGTGTCAGTTTGAGAAGTTTAACTAAATCAGCTCAGCAATTCCACCCACCTTAGGGCTGCTCATCACCCGGATGGTATAAAGGGGAAGTGAGGAAGAACGGATCTGCTTCTGTTTTTGGAGGAGCTCCAGTCTTCACCTTCATCTTGGACATCACTTCCTGGCTTCCGGCACAGACCCATCAGCCTCCTGATACAGACTTGCACTGGGCACTGCAGTGAGCTCCAGAACTTCAACTGAATCCTTCGGTCTCTAGTATGCAGACAGACCTTCTGGGCTGTTCCATACTCAACTCTGTGGGCCATTGTAAGCCAATCTTTTAAATGAATATATATTTGTACATCTTGTACTATATCTGTTTCTTGATTAAATACTGACTAACACAGATAGTTTATATTGAGACTGTACCCCAAATACCTCATGAGCTCATAGCCCATAGCAATACCCCATGGCCTCATAGGCCAGGTTTTTGTTTTGTTACCAGGGATCAAACTCAGGACCTTTCACTTTCCAGGCAGGCTGGTGGCACCACTGAGCTAAATACCCAGCCCCAAACCAGGTTTTTGGAAGGTGATTGAATCTCAGAGACAATATAACCCGCCCACTTGCTGTCGGGAGGTGTGTCTGTCTGGTTGGAAGAGATGGGTCCCAGGGCTTGACCTGGAAAGGTGCATTTCCCTCCCTGAGCCCTCCCTTCTCTCTGTTTCCTGGCCCTATGTTGAGCAGCTGTCTTCTGCCAGACCCTTCCACCATGCCTTTCTGCCTTGGAGTGATCCAACTATGGGCTAAAGATGTAAGCCAAAATTAACCTTTCCTCCTTTAAGATGTGAACGTGGGGCATTCTGTCCCAGACATAAAGAAAGTAACTAAAATAGGGACAGAGAGCAGCATAGCATCCAAAAGGTACCAGCTGAGGTCAGAGAAGGAGGTGAAGGCCACATACATGGCCCTAACGGCTCATGGTGTTACAGGGAGAATAGCAGTAACTCCTTAACTTATTAGATATCCAGAACATGAGTTCGTGTTCTCCAAAATCAAAGAATAGATTCTAGGAACAACGGAGATTAAGAGCAGGAGCAATTTGTTGAAAGAAAGATAGCTTCTGCCTAAGAAAGACAGAAGGAGGACCACAAAGTGGGTCTCTCAGGGATCGTGTTTCCCAGGGAGTTTTTATGGAGCAAAATCAGGAGGTGAGGCAGTTTCAAGGTGGAACAAAACTATAGTCAACTAGTAAGATTACAAGTACAGTCGCTTAGGTAGTATTAGTCCAATGGGAACTCACAAGATGGACATGAAGTAATGAAGGACAAAATTGTAATCACCCAATATGATTATGACAAGTCTAGATGCTTAGATAATATTGATTAAATGGGGATCAAACTGAGAAGTCAGAGTAGCAAGCATACAAGGAAAGAGCAAGGATTTTCAGTAAGGGGTGGGTCAGGGATCTTTCCTGGAAGGAGTGGGTTAAAATCTTGGTTCTCCACCCAAATGATTGATACCTATTTAGAATATCAGTCACTGGTATTCATCCCTAGGGGAAGCGGGTGTAGTGGGTTCTCTCCTTTTACAATGCTGGCCTTCAGTGAATGTGTCTTGATTGACCTCCATGTTGGCTCCTTGAGGGCTGGCCCTGTCTAACTGCCTACAAGACATCTAATTAACTGACCTATCTACCATAATGGAATTTAGGTTTTATTCTAAGCAGGGAAGTTAATAAAAAATGGTTAGCAATTGTACATAATACATCTTATTAAAGATGGTTGTTAGTGGTGAAAGGAAGATTAAAAAACCAACAAACAACAACAACAAAAACAACATAAACTGGATATGGTGGTAATATCCATAATCCCAGTACTCTGAGAGGCTGAGACAGGAAGACTGAAAGTTAAAGCGCAGCCTGGGTGATTTAGTCACTTAGCCAGACCCTGCCTCAAAATAAAAAATAAAAAAGATCTGGGGATGTAGCTCAGTGAGAAGGCCCTCAATCCCAGGGCCACAAAAACAAAAAAAGTGTAAAGACAGGGAGACAAAGACTATTGTAAGGTTTCCTACAATTACAAATGATAAATAATGAGTTCAGCTTCTGACACATGTAAATTCTTCACAAATGATAGTTGTGTCTAAGTCTAAGCTTGTCCTGTTCAAGACCATAGCTATTAGTCACATATGACTACAAAGCCTAGCACAACCAAGGACTTAAATTTATTTTATTTAATTTTAATCAATTAATTTAAATTTAAAATGTCATTTAATTCAGTTATTGACAAGTGTCATTTTTAAAAGTTAGGTACTAATTTGTAAGTATAAATTTAATGGAATGTGAATACAGATACAGGTTTTTTCTGTTTTGTTTTGTTTTTGTTTTTGTTTTGTTTTTTTGCTTGCTGGGCAGGCATGGCACCACTGAGCTACATCCCTGGCAGATTATAAGTATTTTTGATAAAAATTTGATCTCTAAATTGAAAGGTTCTGTAACAGTAAAATACTGTATACAATCTCAAAGACAGTGAGAGAAACAGAATGTCAAATAACTTGCTAGTAATTTTTCCATTACTAACACAGGCTCAAAGGACATAATTTTGGTCATAGTTGGTCAAATAAAATATTATTAATTTATTAATCAATATTAAAAATTAAATTAATTTTACTCCTTTTACTGTTTTAAATGCTATTAGGAAATTTAAAAGTAAATATGTAGTTCACACTGTATACATAGACACACTGATCTAAGGGAATATGGAAGTGTAGAAATTCACCAGTTGTGGTGGTACATACCTGTAATCCCAGCACTTGAGAAGCTGAGGAAGGATTGCCACAAGTTCAAGACCAGGCTGGGCTACATAGCGAGACCTTGTCTTAAAACAACAACAGCAGCAAAAAGGAATGCAGAAATTTAAATTCGTAGAATGTTAACTTTTGATTATGTCTCCTACTTGAAATCCCAATCCAAAAACTGAAACTAGGAGGAAAAAAAAAAAAGCACACTAGCTTCTTCTGGAAAATATATAGGAATTTAGGATTTCTCAAAGGATTGTTCCGGCATCCTATTTCTGGTTATTGGACCCTGCTTTGGCAAGCTCAGGAACCCCAACTCTGGAAATAAAGAGGAAAAAAGAGCCCAAGAATTAGAACACCCCAGAGTATAAGTCTGTATTTCCAAAGCCAGGGTCAGTGAGCCCATGAATGAGCACATCCACTCTGAGGAGCAAAAGGACAGGTGAGTCTCCACAGACTTAAATCTCTACCTGCAGCAGGTACAGATGCACAGAGAATCACAAACACTAGCCCAGCCTCTGCATTATAAGTCGCCCAGGAAAGCAAAAGTCATTTATCCCTGCCCATAGATTGTCCACAGAGCAATTTATTTTAAGTCAGATTTATGTGCTAACGTCTGTACTAAAGACTTGCACTTCATTATTTCATTTAAATTTCACGAAACCTTATGGAGCAGGTACCACTGCAACATCCATACTACACTGTCACAGTTTAGTGATGTGTTCAAGATCACATAACTGGTTAATAGGGATTCAAACCTGAGTCAACAGACTCCAAAATCTACATTCTTTTTTTTTTTAGACAGACTCTTTCTAGTGGTTCAGGTTGGCTTTGAACTCACTATGTAGCCCAAAATGGCCTTGAACTCACAGTAATTCTGACTCAGCCTCCTGAGTGCTGGGATTACAGGCCTGTGCCACCCTGCCTGGTAGAGTCTACCTACTTAACTGGCCTACTGAACAGCAATCCCTTTGTCATGGAAGAAACCCTAAGGATCACCCTGGAGGAAGATTCTCCTCTCCTCTACTCCATCATTTTCAGCCATTTGAGACTTGCTTTTTCTCTCTAGTCCCTGCCCTGATCCCAGCAGAGAGCTGGCCACAGATAGAGTAGATTAGTGATTGCAGAATGAACATTTGTCATCAAGAAACCAACCAGCTTCTCCCGCTGAAAGAAAAGCCTACGGAAACCTGGTTCTCCTGCTCCATTCTTGATTTATTGCTGTATCCACTGTGGTCAGTCCCTGGTCTGGTGGTTCCAGGCCCTTGTCCCATTCAAAGAACTAGAGACAACTGCTAAAAATCTCTCTCCCCTCGTTCGGCTTTCCCCTTTCTCCTCCCCCTCACACACTCCCTGCCTTCACTGTCTCTCCCACCGCCTCCCTCCTCTTTTCCCCCACCCCACCCTCCTCTGTCTCCGCCCCCCGTCCGTACAATGACGTCATTTGCCGAGTTCCTCCCGAGTCGGTCACTACATTTCCCAGGGTGCTTTGCTAACAACACGCATTTATTCGGCGCCGACGGAAGTGCAGCTGATCGATCGGAAGTAGAAGTTCTCACAGTCCTGGAAGGTGGGCGCTAGAGGAGCTGTGAGGCTGTGAGTAGTCTGGTGGGTCTGGCGGCTTGGCAGTGAGAAATATAGGTAGGGGTTACGCTGCTGAGAAGCGCAAGTTAAACTTCTCTAACTCTGGGCACTGAAATCATTGCGTTTTTCTACTTGCTTTAGGGGCGAGGAAAAACGAGACGTTGCTAGGGGCTGAAAGCTTCGTATTACCCTCGGTGCTTTACGTTTTCTTGGAAGCTAGGGTGAATTCGGACTCTTGTTGTACAGACAGGTTAGGTCATTGGCGTGATTTTGCTGCGACCAGATAGCCGGGGCTGCAGAAGGTCTGACTCAGCTAAAGCAGTGGTTCTTCATTGGCTGCACATTAAACTACAGGTGCCCTGGCCCAGCTCCACACCAATAAAGTCAGAATCTGCACAGGGTCTGGACAGCAAGGTTTTCTAAGCCAGTCCAATGTTACTACGCAGCGAAGGTTGAGGACCGTTTTTCTAAGTGCCGGATTTTGACCTCCACAGGGATCCTGATGAGGACTACTTGCTCCCGGGCTCGCCTTCCGCTATTAGCTGCGTTGGTTTTGCTGCGTGCATTTCTGTCAAAGCAGTTATCGTGGTTTGGCACAGATCCCATTTTGAGCTCAACAAAAAAGTTATTTTAAAAAAGTTATCTTATAGTTTTGGGTGGTAGTGCTGACAAAGATGGACTGTAGTTCTTTATTCACGACTTGGTCATTTATTCTGGGTAAAAACTAGAGCCATTTCATTTTTCTTCCACTGTTGTAGGTCCCCCCCCCCACCTTCCTACCTCAACAAAACGAGAGCTTGGAATATGAAAGAGTCACCTTAAAATTAGTCTCCTGTTAGGACTAGGAGGTGTAGCCCAGTGGTAGGCCTCAGTCCTCACCACCGAGGGAAAAAAAATCAGGTCTGTCTCTTGTTGCTTGTAAGACGTTTTGGTGCAAGATATCACAAAAGGTATTTAAATTGAAATGAAACTTAGTGTTATTTATAGGTTTATGAATGATAATCTATTAAATAACAAAGAAAGAAATTTACGGTGTATCTTGGGCTTTGGTGCAGAGGTTCGTTAAGGTATGAAAAGCACAATTTCTTTCGTTTTTGTTTTGTTTTTAAAACAGGATCTAGTTATGTTGATCAGGCTGGTTTTGAACTCAGCTATGTAACCCAGGCTGGCCAAGGACTCAACCACAATCCTCCTGCCTTGGTCTCCCACGTGCTGGGATTATAGGTGTGCACTACCACCCCTGTTTTATAACTTCTTTTTCATGTCAGTACCATTAACAGATATTTTTTCTTTCCCAAAGTTTAAGCCTCACCTCCCTAACTGAATTCAAAATGGAGAAGAAGTCAGAGAATTGTAAGGTTCCAGAGGATCTGTTCAGTGGTTTGAAGGTTACAGATCCCCAGGAAGCAGAGTATGCCAGACCTGCAGTTCCTGATCCCAAAGATCAGCATTCCCAGAGCAAGCTGCTCAAGGAGGATGAGGCGCAGGGAGAAGAAGAATGTTTTCATGACTGCAGTGCCTCGTTTGAGGAGGAGGCAGGAGTGGATAAGGTTCAGAACAAAGCTGATGATGATGTGAATTCCTCTGAACTAGATGAAGAATACTTAATAGAACTGGAAAAAGATATGCCAGAAGAAGAGAAACAGGTAAATACTTATTATGCATAATCTGCCTCTTAAATTGCTTTTAAAAAGCAATAAATAAAGTTAATACTATATAATAGACCTCATCGGTTGTGTAGAGTAATTTGCCACTTTGTGTCCTCTTTATTGCTTTAGTACTGATGAATCTGAGGTAAATCGTTAGCATGAAGAGGAATCATTGAGCATGTCTGCTTAACAGAGAGCTGTTTTGTTTTGCCTTTTTTTCCCCTCGGTACTGGGCATTGAAATCAGAATCTTGCACTTGCAAGGCAGGCATGGTGCCACTGAGCTAAATCACCGTCCTGCTTAAAAGAAATGTCCATTTTATTTATTTTTTTATGTTTTTTTTGTTTTTGCAAAGTTATAGTTCTTTGTTTATCTCATACTTCAGGTATTGCATACTTCATGTTTTCAAACATATCTGTGTATACCTCTTAGATTTTTTATGACCATTTTAACAATTCTGTAATAAACATTTTTTAAGACTGTTCAGGATTGCGGTTTACATTAATCTCTTGCTAGCAAAGTATGATCGCTTGAATATCTTGATGGCATTTTTCTTACAGAGAACATTGACTGGGTCTCCTGGAACCACATTGTGATGATAGTCTGTCATTTTTTGAGCACCTACAGCCTACAGTCACTGAGCTGAAAATATTACTTGTGTTTTAATTTAGTCCTCACAGTGTACCCTTGAGATATATATTGTTTCTTTCCCCAAAAGGTAGCAGAGCTTAAAGTGGTAAAGTAACTTGCTCAAGATCACACATTTAATAAATGACAGAATTCTTAAACTCAGATCAGTTTGATCCCAAGGCTAAAGTGTAATGTAGAATTTAATAATGAAAAACATGATCTTCCTACAAAAGCATATAACGCTACTGAACTGTACTCTTGCTACTTGGCCCCTTGCCTATCCCCTTAACTAGGTAAACCTCTTTTGGAGGCAGAAGTCTTAGTGTCCCCTTTATATTCTGCTTTCTGATCTCACAAACAAGGCAGTCTATCTGAAGAGTTACCATAATGTCTGGGTTTGTTTGCAAAGAATTTAAGTGAGATTGTGGTTGATCTTCCTCACCCAAGTTTGCTTTTGGTACCAGGGAGCGAACTTCAGACCTTGCACTTGCAAGGCAGGCCAGGCAGTGGCACCACTGAGCTAAATCCGTGGCACCTGAGGTTGATGTGCCTCAAGAGCTCTCTCTGAACAAACTCAAATGGCAGTGAGTTGAGATAATAAATGTGCAGTGTGGCATACTATTAGATAGGGAGTAGCAGCTTTTCTTTGTCTTGCCTTAAGCACTTTTTGTTATCAAATTGTTTGGTTTTGGTACATATGTGTTTGCTTATGGGCTCACGTGCCACCAGAAAAGGAGGATTAAAAGGCAAAAATGAGCCAAATTCATACATTAGCTTAACAAATATGATTCTGAAAATTAAATCAAGTACTGTTTTACAACATCAGAAAAATGATTTTCTTAAAAATGAGTTTCTTATTGCTAGTACAGGCTTTTTTAGAAACTCTAGTTAGATATCTATGTTAAAAACCATCTTAGCCGGGTGTGGTGGCACATACCTGTAATCCCAGCACTTGGGAGGCTGAGGCAGGAGGATCGCTGTGAGTTCAAGGCCAGCCTGGGCTACACAGTGAGTTCCAGGTCAGTCTCACTACAT